CAGTGAGGTTACAAATATAGGCCTATGAATGGTGCACACATCATGGACCTTTAGCTCACATAATTTTGGAAGGGTCTGAGGATGGTAGGTGAAGAGGAGAGATAATTCAGACAGCCCACCTACTGTGCCATAGAGACCTACTGAATATGTACCTGGTCAACTGACATTTTCTTTATATATATATTATTTTTTACAGAGAGGAAGGGAGAGGGATAGAGAGTTAGAAACATCGATGAGAGAGAAACATCCATCAGCTGCCTCCTGCACACCCCCTACTGGGGATGTGCCCGCAACCAAAGTACATGCCCTTGACCGGAATCAAACCTGGGACCCTTCAGTCTGCAGGCCGACGCTCTACCCACTGAGCCAAACCGGCTAGGGCTCGACTGACATTTTCAATCAATGGGTGAATCAAAATTTCAACAAAGAGGTTTCAAGTAATCACCTCTGTTCTCGAAGCCAGTGTTAAGGCCCCATTCTCAAAGCACTTGTTTCTTTTTTCCCTACTGTTTACCTTGGAGTAATTCTCCCATTTCCTCCTGTTAACCAGGGGGGCATCGCACCGAGTTGCCCTTGACGAGGGTTAATGGATGGCGTCCATTATCCCTTGGAAACCGTGACTGCCGGCCACTTCTAGGTCCTCAGTGCAGCACTCCACACCCCTCCTGACCGTTCAGCCGCAGCAGCATGTGCGACATCAGCACAATGGAGCCTTTTCAATAAAATGGTGAGGTGAGCCCATCTCAGAGAACAGCCCACGGGGAATTGCTGCAGCCCATGGGGAGGACCCGCTCCATCCAGGCTTGAGCTCCGAGGAGCAAGTCGCCTGTCCTGCAGTCCCGCCTTCCTGCAGGTCGCAGCAGGCGCTGGGAGGGGAGGGCTTTTCCTAATGCCCTGCGTGACGGAACTGCCTTCCAGGCATGCGCCTAATTACTCCCCTGTTCTTAAGGCTCTTCTGTGTAAATTAAAGTCATCGCAATTCTCCGGTGGGAGCTGACGAGTGGCTTTTGTCTGCCTGTGGGTCTGAAAGCGGTGGCCCTGGGTAAGGTCACCGACAGAGTCAGTTTAGGTGGAAAGGGAGCCGCTCCTGACGGCACCTGGAGCCGCCGTCACCTCGGGGCCGCCAAGGGCCACAGAGAGCTTTGCCAGGGGAGCTCGTGGTGGGGCAGGGCCCGTGCCCGCTCGTGTTCCCGGAAGTTCCTTTCTTACGGCTGCGGCCGCCTCTGGAAGATCTAGAAGGGTCTGAGGGACCGGAACCACGGACAATAGGACGTCTGTCTCCAAAAGGCTGGAAATAGCGTTTTCGGCCCAATGTGTGCAGTGCAGTCCTGGGCTCTCCTAGGCATTCAGGTAGAGCTAATCTTCGTGTGTTCACCTCATTAAAAGAGGATTTCCATAAGCTTTGAATAGCTCTTTGAAGATATTTATAGCTTCAATCAGCTCACCTGTTTATCAGCATTAACTTGGAAACTTTCAGCTATCTTTCAACAAAGCGGGAGATCAGTGGACTGAAAAGCATTTCCCCTGGATTTTTTGTTTTCCATTTTAATAACTCATACCTTGAAGTGTCGGGTTTTACATGAGAATCCACGTTTACCCTGAGGATCTGTCCCGTGGCCGTCATGACAATACTTGTCGTCTGTGAGGAGTCAGGGCAGCCCCGCCCCGCCGGTGAGCAGTGTCACGGAGCTCCTCCGAACGCTCCGAACTCCTACTGCCGCCAGAATGCCCTCTGTGCCACCGAAGCTGCGGCGCTTACGGTGCGTTTTAGAAATAGTTTGATTTTAAGTTAGCGCTTTTGTGATCTCTACATTTCCGGTGAAATATGTCCACCCCCGAACACACCTTCTTAAGTAGAAATAAAGACTGAAGTTATCAATTTTATTATATGGCAGTCCCTCCCAGACTAAAGTTTTGCTTCATGCTCAACCCTTTTGATGATGTCGGTGGTGAAGTTCCCACGACATAGGCGCATGTATTCTTCCGCATCAGTGTTCCGGGGCCTGTGGGTATCGGCCCAGACGTGGGGTCGCTGGGTCAAATGGAAGCTCCATTTTTAATTTTTTGAGAAACCTCCGCACTGCTTCCCACAGTGGCTGCACAGTCTGCACTCCCACCAGCAGTGCACGAGGGCTCCCTTCATTCCACATCCTCGCCAGCTCTTGTTGTTCGTTGATGTGTGGATGGTAGCCATTCCGACAGGTGTGAGGTGATGTCTCATTGTTTTAATTTGCATCTCTCTGATGATTAGTGACCTTGAGCATCTTTTCATGTATCTATTGGCCAGCTGTATGTCCTCTGTATTTTTTTTATTTTTTAAATATATTTATATTGATTTCAGAGAGGAAGGGAGAGGGAGAGAGAGAAACATCAATGATGAGAGAGAATCATTGATCAGCTGCCTCCTGCACAACCCCCACTGGGGATCGAGCCTGCACCCTGGCATGTGCCCTGACCGGAATTGAACTGTGACCTCCTAGGTTCATAGGTTGATGCTCAACCACCGAGTCACATTGGCCTGGCTGTGTGTCCTCTTTAGAGAAGTATCTAGTCAGAATTTTAATTTTTATATAGCTTATATTTATATAAACTTAAGCATTTTTCATTTATTCTATAATTTATCTACATTGTGATTAGATATTCTCATTGGCTTCCAGAAATAAGTTCAAAATGAGTGAGTGAAAATCCCTCTCTTTCATAGGTTAGGCAATGGCAGCTCATTGAGCTATTGCTTTTTGAAAAATAGATGGTCATTATTATGAATGATGATGCATCACTTTTATTGTATCTGTGAACTGAAAATTCAACATTAAGGCCCACCAAAGGTTAATTCTTAAAAAATAAAAAACAAGCAAACATACCAAAAAAAACACCCCACAAACCCATGAAGACCCCCAACTTCATTCTTTAAAAGATGAATAAAAACCTTTTGCAGATCTTAGGAGAGGTTAGTGGAGTGCTAGGGAATGTCTATGATGAAGAGCGACACTTGGGTGTATTGTTCATTTTACCGGCTGTGTGAAGACTCCATCGACTGTCCCAGCAGCCCGAGCTGCTGAAGCCGACGCACCGGCGAGCCCGAGTTTGGGACGCCAGCCCGCTGCGTCCTGAGAAAGGGCTGTGCAGCTGTTCCTGTGCGTCCACTCAGCCCCGTGCCCTGGGGGTGTCGCCGTGACCACGCGGGTCCGTCTCCTGCCTCGGGTGCCTGTATTCTCAGACTGTAAACCTTTGTATCTGTAGACCAGGAAGAATCTGTGGGGGTGCTTGGGGCCCCGTGTATCATGGTTGAGACACTGTTGGGAACGCACGTGGAGGGAGAGAGCAGGCCCGGTCCCCGGTCCCTGAGATGCTTGGCTCCTGCTGTGAAGTTTGCTGACTGTGCTACCCACAAGGCAGGTGACTGCGGCCCGGGCGCCTCTGGGAGCGTTCCCTTACCCATTCCCTTCCTCTCTCCTTTTTAAAATCGTTTAACCTTTACCGTAGGTTATAAAAATCGAAGAATTGGATTTGTCCATATTGTTGATAAAGGTTTTAACAGTAAAGGCTCTGCCTCCTTCACCAAGCTCACCTTCCTCCACATTCCAATGTCACAGTTCTGCCATCTTCCCATGTTCTATCAGTTATCGTGGTGTTTCTGTAGCTTTAACGTGCTTCTATCTGCCACATTTCTGATACATATATGACCTTGAGGATATATTTTATGTGGTTATTATATTTCTAACAACACTGATATTCATCAACTTAAATACCTTGCACATTAAGGCACTAAAGTTACGAAAAGGTGTCAGAAAATGATAGTTTCTTATCAATGACTTCCGGTGTGAAAAGGTAGATATACGTATGTCTACCTTTTCACACTGGAAACCAGAAGCTAAACATTCATCTCCGGAGACTAAGGATTATAAAATATATTGCCAATAAATGATAAAAACATGAAACTTGACATCTTTATTGTGCTTTTCATTTTACAAGTATTGTCACCCATAATATTAGTAAAGATGGCTGAACAAATGACAATTCAATATGTCTTTTTTGTAAATTAGTAAAACAAATGGAGCTTCATAAGACTTTAGGATCTTTCTTTTCTCATGTTTATACTGTTTTCAACAAATCACATGCATTTGGGAGTCTAAAGGTTTTCACTCCTAATGATCAAAAATACTGTGTATTATTTCTAGATGATAAACAAAATTTTATGCGTGGCCTTAGGTAACTCCTACCCGGCAAGAAGGAAGTTAAGGATTAAAAGAAGTATTTAGTAACGTTAGAGATTCAGAAATCTGGAAAGGCGGTTCTTTTACTGGTCAGTGCTTCTGCATAAAGTTCGCTCTTCGCAAACGTGGACGTGTGAACCCCGCTAGCAAGGCGTCCTCATTGCCAGAGGCGCGTGGGGACTGATTTGTGTGCCCGGCGTTGACTCTTGACAGCGTGTTCCTAGGGCGGCATGTGTCCTGGTGGAGAACCCACTGAAGTACAAAGCCCCGTCCAGGCCTGTGTGCGGTCCGCCCTCGAGGCTCTGTCTCCCCCGGGTGTGACCGTGTGTTGAAACCCAGCAAACTGGGGAGATACTCGCATCATGAGAGATTGCTGGTCCATCTCTGTGGATTGTTAGTAAGAGGAAAAGTCTGGAGCCTTCGAAACTGTGTTCAGAGCGTGGAGTTGAACTCAGGAGCACGGTCCCTGTGTCCCCACAGCCCCCACACTCCCGTCCCTCGTAAGCCTTGGTCCCAGAGGGCGCCCTGCATGTCCCCGAGTCCCGGCAACGCAGCCGGCTCTCCAGGCAGCAGGTCGCCCATGTGGCTCAGTCACGGGGCTGTGGGCCAGAAGAAACGGCTCTCGCTATTTTGAGCATAAAACTCGATTTCCCAAATTACATTGTTGTAGCCTCGTTGGAACATTTATCCCGTGACTGTTTCACGTGTTCTGAGGAGTCAGCCCTAACGCCTGCCGGTTTGGTTCTGCGTCGATCACTGATGGCCACGCCTCTGCTTCTTTCCCAGCAGGTAGACCGGCCTACAACAGCTTCTACGTCTACTGCAAGGGCCCCTGCCAGCGGGTGCAGCCCGGGAAGCTCCGGGTGCGGTGCGGCACCTGCCAGCAAGCCACGCTCACCTTGGCCCAGGTAAGGAGGGGCTGGCAGAGGCCGCCCGGCAAAGGGAACACACGGTTCAGAGTTGCCGCTGGCGTCACCGTGTCTCTCACACAGACAGCTTCCGTGTGGTCGTCATGTTAGTGGTGTCAGACGTTTCAGTTAGAGCTGCAGGACTCTGTCTGTCGGTTCAGGGAGCCCGTGCCGGGGCCTGTGTCTTCAGTGAGGCCCGCTGAAAGGAGAGGGACGGCCTCCCCCAGCGGGAGGGGAGACTGTGGGTGCCCTCTTCACCTTCCTGTGGTGCTGGGAAGGGTTCATGTCCTGGATCTGTGTGTGGGTAGCAGGTTTGTGTATAGATGTCAACATCCAAGGGCGGCTCCTGAAGATCGTGCGCTGAAGGATGCTAAGTGTGATTGGCAGGTGCGAAGGGAAGCTGTGGCCAGGGAACAGCGACCAGGTGCCTTTGGAACAGGGGCCCGCAGCCCAGCATCTGCCGTGGCCTCGCCGGCTTCTGTACCGTCCACAAGCTGAGGACGTGTGTGACGTTTTTACGTGGTTGGGAAACATCAGAAGAGGAGTATCGTGTGAGCTGTGACTATTAGGTGAAGCTTGCACTCGGCATCCACAGTGAAGTCCTATTGGGACGCGGCCACACCCCTTCTGCGTAGGCGGCCTCCTCCCCGGGCTCCGGGCCTGAGCCCTCCGCAGACGGACTGGGACTCGGTGGCCCGAGAGCCCTGACACTTACTCTCTGGCCCCCTAGAGAAAAGGCTTTCGGAGCCCATGGAAACCTTGCACACAGCTAGTTGGTGGTGTGAGCGTGAGGCTGTGCAGGACTCACCGGGCTGAATGTGAGGTGGATGCGAATGTGTGCGGGTGGGGAGGCCGGGCAGCGCGTGGAGAGGGCACAGCCGGGGAGGCAGGAAAGGACGGAGCTGGGGGGACCAGGGGCCGACGTGTACACAGGTCCCCGTTACCACATCGGGCCCAGCGGTGGCGAGAGAGTTTAGCTTGTGTCCTGCAGGCCGCGGAGAGCCGGACAATGTGCCGCAGACACAGGGCTGCGTGAGATGATGTTAGAACCCTTAGTGCCAAAACCGTCCCCATCTGGATTGAGGTTGGTGGCAGATTGAAGGCAGAGGGGTTATTAATAAACCTTCACGGGGTGCTGAGGGCCTAGATCGGGGTTGTGCCCGAGGAATACAATAACGGGGCGCAGGGAGGCCCCCAAGGTGCTGGAGGAGGGCAGCAGGGACCTCGCATCACGCTGGGGAAAATGGAGCGATTACAAACAGTGAGTTCAGTGTTTCAGTCCAATACATGTCAGTCTCACAGGCAGGCCAGGTGCGAAGACCAGCCCGTGAGTGACCCAGGTTCGCCCTGACCCCGGAGGGGACCTTCCTTGGGCTGTCCCTGGAGAGAGCTTCTGTCCTAAAGCCCCACAGTGTTCTCCACCCGACGCCCCTCGCCTTCCCAGCGCAGCCAACAGCCCTGCTGGTCTGTCCGGCCCCGCCCCGCCCCGCCCCTGCACAGGGGCTGTGACTGTTACCTCCTACTGTTCCCAATAGAAAGAGCAGTGACCAATCCTTACGGAACTCCAAGCTTAATCCTTTCCAGGGGTTATCTCCGTTAATTATGTGGAAACACTCTGAGGTAAGCACTGTTAGCAAATCCATTTTAGATTGGGGAGGAAAGGAGGCTTAAGGAGATTAGGGAAATAAGCCCGCTAACCGGTGGCCCGGGATTTGAGCCGGGCGGTGTGACCTCACCTTGGAGGTTAAAGTTCCCCTTTCAGCACACAGGTGGGTCTGTTACACAAGGGTCCCCTGCTGATGCCCCTGTGACCACAGGTGAGTGAAGGCTAAGTCAGGTGCGGGCAGTGGGGCAGGGAGGCCAGGCCCGTGGAAAGGAGTCAGCCGCCCGGGTGTCAGCAAGTGTGTGTGTGTGTGTGTGTGTGGGTGTGGGTGGGGG